CAGGTCAGACCAGACTGGATCAGACCCCGCGGCGCTGCACACAGGGCCCGGCCGGACCGGACCGGGTCAGACCAGACTGGATCAGACCCCGCGGCTCTGCACACAGAGCCCGACCGGACCGGACCGGGTCAGACCAGACTGGATCAGACCCCGCGGCGCTGCACACAGGGCCCAGCCGGACCGGACCGGGTCAGACCAGACCGGACCAGACCCCGCGGCGCTGCACACAGGGCCCGGCTGGACCGGACCGGGTCAGACCCCGCCATGCCGCCCACTGGGCCCGGCCGGACCGGACCGGGTCAGACCAGACTGGATCAGACCCCGCGGCGCTGCACACAGGGCCCGGGCCGGACCAGACCGGGTCAGACCCCGCGGCGCTGCACACAGGCCCTTCTGGACACCAACACCCTCCCAGCACGAGCAGCGGGGATCATCTGGGCGCAGAGAGCAGCGCGCGGGGTCAGAGGGCACGAGCACGCCACAGCGCCACCCCGGGGCGGGGGGGCCACGGAGAGACAGACCACAGGATGAGACAGGAAACGAGAGGAGACGCGAGACAGCGGGGGGGCGGGGCGGACAAGCAGCAGCAGCCGGACAGCACTGGCGGCCGGCGGAGGGGCCCCCCCCCTCAGTTGTGGGTCTCCCCGGCCTCGTCGTCCTGCTGGTCGCTGGTCCACAGGGTCAGGTTGTCCCGCAGCAGCTGCATGATGAGGGTGGAGTCCTTGTAGGAGTCCTCGTTGAGCGTGTCCAGCTCGGCGATGGCGTCGTCGAAGGCCTGCTTGGCCAGGTGGCAGGCCTGCTCGGGCGCGTTCAGGATCTCGTAGTAGAAGACGGAGAAGTTGAGGGCCAGGCCCAGGCGGATGGGGTGGGTGGGCTGCATGTGCTCCTTGCTGATCTCGAAGGCCTCCTTGTAGGCGCCCTCGGAGGACTCCACCACCGCCGCGCGCCGCTCGCCCGCCGCCACCTCGGCCAGGTAGCGGTAGTAGTCGCCCTTCATCTTCAGGTAGAAGACCTTGCTCTCGAACTGCGGCTCGCTGCAGTTCTTGATGAGGAACTTGTCCAGCAGCGCCAGCACGTCGCCGCACACGGCCTCCAGCTCCTTCTCGATCTTCTCGCGGTACGCCCGCACCATCTCCAGCTTCTTCTCGCTGCCGTCCGCCGCCGTCTTCTGCTCGATGCTGCTGATCACCCGCCAGGAGGACCGCCGCGCGCCCACCACGTTCTTGTAGGCCACCGACAGCAGGTTGCGGTCCTCGTTCGACAGCGGCTCGTTCAGCTCCGTCACCTGCTCGCCGGGGGAGAGAGGGGGGCGTGAGAGGGGCGTCCGGGAACACGGCGCACTTTCTCCCGGGAGCGCAACTCCCCCCACACAGGCGTCCCGGGACAGACGGCCCAGTCGCCACCGCAAGGCACAAGAGCTCAGGCTGCCGCGTGTGTGTGTGCTGGTGTGGGCTTGAGCCCGGAGAGCAGATCCCAGACAGCACAGGAGCCCGGAGCCCAGAG